ATTTCTATTTATTTATTTATTTATTTATTTATTTATTTATTTATTTATTGACTGATTTTTTTTTGTTGTTGCTTTTTGAGACAGGGTTTCTCTTTTTAGCCCTGGCTGTCCTGTAACTCGCTCTGTAGACTAGACTGACCTTGAAATCGGACATCCTCCTGCTTCTGCCTCCTGAGTTCTGGAATTAAAGGCCTGTATCACTACCACCCAGCTAATTATCTGTCTTACTGTGGTTTTCTGCTAGATTTCAGAGATTGAATCTCTCTCTTAATTTTTTTATGTTTGTTTGTTTATTTATTTATTTATTTTGTATGTGTGCATGCTCTGGCATACATATGTAGATCAGAGGACTGGAGTCAGTTATCTCTTGCTACCATTGGATTCCAGGGATTGATATCAGGTTGTCAGGTTTGTCTATAAGCGCCTTCATCTGCTGAGCCATCTTGCTCTGTCTCTCTAATTTTGATTGTAGACATTATTCACAGGAAAGAGTAAGTTGTCTACAGTTTCTAGGATAACACCATATTTACATTCCATGTTCTAGTTGGGTTTTAAGCTGTTTAGATAATTTGGCCTCTCCTTAGTTTTAGATTTCTAAACCTCAGTGAGAGATTTGATGGTAGGAAGGTGAGAAAGTTTCTATGAGTAATTTAACCTTTTGAAAAATTAAATATGAGGTGAAACTCCCAGCTTACTGAACAAAAGCTAGCAATGTAAGACATTTAAAGAAAAATATAGAAAAGGAATGTTGAGTGTGGTTGCAACTGCCTGCAACTCTAGAACTTAGGTTGAATACAGCAGGTGTATTTCAGGCTCAAGGACAATCTGGACTACATAGACAGACTATTTCAAAAACAAAACAAGGAAAGAAATAAATAGGTCTTAGTTAGGATTTCTATTGCTAAGATAAAAACACTATGATCATAAGGAAGAAAGGGTTTATTTCATCTTTACAACTCTTGGGTCATACTCCAGTACTGAGGGAAGTGAGTGTAGGAACCTGGAGGCAAGACCTGAAGCAGAAGCCATGAAGGAGTGCCGCTTCTGGACTTGCTCCTTGTGATTTGCTTAGCTTGCTTCTTTATACACCCAAGGACTACTTGACCAGGGGTGACACTGAGCCGAGCCCTTCCATATCAATCATCACTTAAGACAATGCCCCATAGGCCAGTTTAATGGGGTATTTTCTCAGTGTTCCTTCTTTCCAGTGACTCTAGCTTATGTCAAGTTGACATAAAACTAGATAGCACAAATTGAAATGGTCATCTTGGAGAATTAAATATAGTTGAGTATCTCTGAGGACCCCTTTGAAATATGGTTCTGTTTTAGAATGGGAATGGATATCCTTATGTCTCTGCAGAAAAACATTAATGTACTTGCATGTTTTTGTAGATTCTCTTGTTTGGCTGAAGTTTCTTTCTGTTCCTAAGTTGACAATTTTTTTTTTTTTTTTTTCCCAAGACAAGGTTTCTCTGTAGCTTTAGAGGCTATCCTGGAACTTGCTCAATAGACCAGGCTGGCCTTGAACTTGCAGTGATCCACCTGTCTCTGCCTCTCGAGTGCTGGGATTAAAGGTGTGTGCCACCACCATCTGGCTGGTTGACAATTTTTATCAAGATTAGGTGTTAAGTTTTATTTCTTCTTGCCCTAATGCTATCCATGTGATTACTGATATTCTGGATTATTGTGTTACTGTTTTGTTTGTGTAAATTATTACCACATGTGTCTTTGTGTGCTTGTGGAGGTCACAGGACGACTTGAAAGAGTAAGTTCCCTTAATTGTTCTTTTATCAGAAACAGTAGTAACCCAGCCTTTCAACTTTTCACTCTCTGCAAAGACTTAAGGGAACCAAATTCATGTTTAAGAAATCTTTTTGTTTTTAACTATCTCCTCTAGAAATCTTTAGAAACTTTGACTTCTCCAAACCTATCACTATGTCTTCAATAACCAGATTGTAGAGCCCATTTGAATACCCAGGGCTGTAGACATTAAAATCTAAGGATTGTCAGTTCTTTCTAACTCCAGAAAAATGTGTTATTTCTTAGGATTATTGCCTGTTACCTGTCGTGGTGGGTATCTTTTCATATCTGTGTTGCAATCCTCCGGAAGACCTGCCTCACCTCGCAGTTACTACTTCTGTAGATTTAGCTACTGTTCAAATTTCAGTGATCAAAAGACTTCTGGTATTTTCTTTGTTTTTGAGGGTATTATTACATATTTTTTTGAGGATAATATGTCTTCTACTTCAATGTTTTTAATCTATGTTTATTTTCTAGTATTATGGTGTGTATATGTATGATGTGTGTGAGTGCTGGAGGGTGTGTGCCATGGTGTGAGTGTGGAAATCTGAGGACAACTTTGAGGAGTTGGTTCTCCTCCCACAGTAGGTTCTGAGGGCTGAAATGAGGTAGTCAGGAATTTTGGGCAAGGGCTTTGCTTGTTGACTCATCCTTTCCACTCTTACTTTCATTTAAACTTTTTACTTCTTTCCTTGAACATAAATTTTTTTGGTATATTTAAAATGTTTAAATGATCCCCCCCTCCTTTTAAAGCTTACCACCTTTTAAAAATTTTATGTGCATTGGTGTGAGGGTGTCATCTCCCCTAGAACTGGACATACAGACAGTTGTGAGCTGCTATGTAGTACTGGGAATTGAACCCTGGGTTCTCTGGAAGAGCAGCCAGTGCTCTTACTGCTGAGCCATCTCTCCAGCCCTTTCTTTCAATTTTTACATTTTCAAATTTGTGAGGTTTCTTCTTAAGCAGCCTGTAAGCTATGCTTTTCTGTTACCTGCTTATAGAGAAGGTCTCTTTCTATTTGAGCCTTAGTTTACTTTTATCTGTTTATGATTTTCAGAACTTTTTCTTTATACAGAATCTACATAATGTAAAATTTTACATTCTAAAGCTTTGTATCACATGCGCTACCTAGAACAGTTCTATTACCTACATTCCTTTGGTATCCAATAATCTACTTTCTGTCCCAAGGAATTTTATCTTGTATTTCATGTAAATGAAATAATATTTTGTCTTTTGAGTCTGAATTAATAAACATAGCATCTATTTCTAGTATGTTCAATGTTTTATTTTTATAGGTGTATAGTATTGTATAGATGTAACATGTTTTGTTCATTCATTCATTGATAGACAGTTGTTTTCTTTTTCTCTTAAGTGGCTACTATAATTGTTCTGTGAGAATTTGTATTTAGACTTTTATTTATAGTTACATGTTTTTATTTATTTTGTCATTTTTTAATTGAGCTATACATTCCCCCCTACCCTCCTTCAAACCTCCCCTCTCCCCTTCCACACCCCCTGCCCCCCACACTCCCAGTTTACTCAGGAGATCTGGTCATTTTCCCCTTCCCAGGTGAATCCATGCAAATATCTCTTAGGATCCTCTTTGTTTCCTAGGTTCTCTGGGGTTGTGGCCTGTAGTCTGGTTGTTCTTTGCTTTATGTCTAATATCCACTTATGAGTGAGTACATATTATATTTGTCTTTCTGGGTCTGGTTTACCTCACTCAGGATGACTTTTTCTGGTTACGTCCATTTGCCTGCAAATTTCAAGATGTCATTGTGTTTTATGGCTATTGTGTAATTATTGTGTAATTGTATCACATTTTCCTTATCCATTCTTCAGTTAAGGGGCATCTAGGTTGAGTCCAGGTTCTGGCTATTACAAATAATGCTGCTATGAACATAGTTGGAGCAAATGGGTATATGCCCAAAAGTGGTATTGCTGGATCTTGGGGTAGGTTGATTCCCAATTTTCTTTTTTGCTTTTTTCCTTTTGGTTTTTCGAGACAGGGTTTCTCTGTGGCTTTGGATGCTGTCTTGTTACTAGCTCTTGTAGACAGGCTGATCTTGAACTCACAGAGATCCACCTGTCTCTGCCTCCCTAGTGCTGGGATTAAAGGAGTGTGCCACCAACCCGGCTGATTCTCAATTTTCTGAGAAACCACCATATTGATTTCCAAAGTGGCTGTACAAAAGTTTGCACTCCCACCAGCAATGGAGGAGTGTTCCCTTTACTCTGAATCCTCTCCAGCATAAGCTGTCATCAAAGTTTTTAATCTTGGCCATTCTGACAGGTGTAAGATGGAATCTCAGAGTTGATTTGATTTGTATTTCTCTGATGACTAAGGATATTGAGCGTTTCCTTAAGTGTTTTCAGCCATTTGAGATTCCTCTGTTGAGTTCTCTTTTTGGATCTGTACCCATTTTTTTTTTTTAATTGGATTATTTGATCTTTTGATGTTTAGTTTCTTGAGTTCTTTGCTTATTTTGGAGCTAAGTCCCCTGTCAGATGTGAGGTTGGTAACGATCTTTTCCCATTCTGTAGACTGCCGTTTTGTTTTGTTGACCATGTCCTTTGCTTTACAGAAGCTTTTCAGTTTCAGGAGGTTCCATTTATTCAATGTTGCTGTCAGTGTTTGTGCAGTTGGTGGTATATTTAGGAAGTGGTCTCCTGTGCAGATGTGTTCAAGGCTACTTCCCACTTTCTCTTCTATGAAGTTTACTGTGGCTGGTTTTATGTTGAGGTCTTTGATCCTTTTGAACTTGAGTTTTTCACATGGCAATAGATAATGAATCTATTTGCATTCTTTTACATGTCGACATCCAGTTATGCCAGCACCATTTGTTGAAGATGCTTTCCTTCTTCCATTTTATACTTTTAGGGTTTTTTTTTTGTTTTTATTTTTGTTTTTTTTTTAGATTTTATTTATTTATTATGTATACAACATTCTGCTTCCATGTATATCTGCACACCAGAAGAGGGCACCAGATCTTATAACCGATGGTTGTGAGCCACCATGTGGTTGCTGGGAATTGAACTCAGGACCTCTGGAAGAGCAGTCGGTGCTCTTAACTGCTGAGCCATCTCTCCAGCCCCCAATTTTAGGGCTTTGTTGTTGTTGTTGTTTTGTTTTTTTGAGACAGGGTTTCTCTGTGTAGCTTTGCAGGCTATCCTAGCACTCGCTCTGGAGACCAGGCTGGCCTCGAACTCAACTCACAGAGATCCGCCTGCCTCTGCCTCGCGAGTGCTGGGATTAAAGGTGTGCGCCACCAGCAACCGGCCAGGTTGTCAGGTGTTTATAGGTGTGTGGATTAATATCAGGGTCTTCAATTCAATTCTATTGGTCCATCTGTCTGTTTTTATGCCAATACCAAGCTGTTTTCATTACCGCTCTTTAGTAGCGGTTGAAATCAGGGATGGTGATGCCTTCAGAAGTTTCTTTATTGTACAGGATTATTTTGGCTACCCTAGATTTTTTATTTTTCCATATAAAGTTGACTGTTGTCCTTTTCAAGGTCTGTGAAGAATTTTGCTGGGATTTTGATGGGTATCGCATTGAATCTGTAGATTGCTTCTGGTAAGATTGCCATTTTTATTATGTTAATCCTACCTATTCAAGAGCATGGGAGATCTTTCCATTTTTTTGATATCTTCTTCAATTTCTTTCTTCAAAGACTCAAAGTTCTTGTCATACAGGTCTTTCACTTGTTTGGTTAGAGTTATCCCCAAGATATTTTATGTTATTTGTGACTATTGTAAAGGGTGTTATTTCTCTGATTTCTTTCTCAGCCCATTTATCATCTGTATATAGGAGGGCTACTGATTTTTTTTTTTTTTTTTGAGTTAATCTTGTATCCTACTACATTACTGAAGCTGTTTATCAGTTGTAGTAGTTTTTGGGGTCACTTACGTATACTATCATATCATCAGCAAATATCAAAAGTTTGAGTTCTTTTCCAATTTGTATCCCCTTGATCACCTTTTGTTGTCTTATTGCTCTAGCTAGAACTTCAAGTACAATATTGAATAGATATGGCAGCCTTGTCTTGTTCCTGATTTCAGTGGGATCGCTTTGAGTTTCTCTCCATTTTGTTTGATGTTGGCTTGCTGTATATTGCCTTTATTATGTTTAAGTATGTTCCTTGTATCCCTGATCTCTACAAGGCCAACTCTTTGTCTCATTGAATCTTTGAATTGTTTTCTTTGTTTCTATTTGATTGATTTCAGCCCTCAATTTGATTATTTCCTGTTGTGTACTCCTCGTGGGTGAGTTTGCTTCTTTTTGTTCTAGAGCTTTTGGTTGTTCTGTTAATTCACTAGTGTGAGATTTCGCTAGCTTCTCCATGTGGGCATTTAGTGCTATGAACTTTCCTCTTTCTGTGTCCCTTAAATTTGGGTATGTTGTGCTTTCATTTTCATCGAATTTTAGGAAGTCTTTAATTTTTTATTTCTTCCTTGACCCAGTAGTGATTCAGTTGAGTATTGTTCAACTTCCATGAGTTGATGGGCTTTCTGCAATTAGTGTTGTTGGATTTTAACTTTAAGCTATGGTGATTCAATAAGATACAGGAGGTTATTTCAATTTTTTGTATCTGTTGAGGTTTGCTTTGTTACGGAGTATGGGGTCAATTTTAGAGAAGGTTCCATGGGGAGCTGCGAAGAGGGTATATTCTTTTGTGTTTGGGTGGATGTAGATGTCTGATTGCTTTTTCTTGGTTTTCTTTAAGGGATTTGTTGATCCCTTCCAAATTTTTGTTTTTGTTTTTTTCCTTCATTTCTTTTCTTTCTTTTTTTTTTTTTGGCTTTCCGAGACAGGGTTTCTCTGTGGCTTTGGAGGCTGTCCTGGAACTAGCACTTGTAGACCAGGCTGGTCTCGAAATCACAGAGATCTGCCTGCCTTTGCCTCCCGAGTGCTGGGATTAAAGGCGTGCGCCTCCACCGCCCGGCCTTCCTTTATTTCTTTAGAGGAAACTCTTTAAGGGTCTCAGTCATCTTCATAAAATTATTTTTAGTGTCGTTTTTCTTCTCCTTCATCTGTGTTGGGATGTTAAGGTCTTGTTGCTGTAGAACCACTAGTGTCTGGTGCTGTATTGCTCTTTGTGTTGTTGAGTTTATTCTTACCTTGTTGTCTATGCATTTCTTCTTCCAGTCGATATAGGTGGAACCTGTGCTTCCCTTTCCTCCAGTTGGTGTAGCTGGGGGCTGTGGCTCAGCTGAAAGCTCCTTCAGGTGCCAACAGGACTGAGCCTCCAGTGATTGCTCCTCCAGGTGTAGAAGGGCCCAAGGCTCAGATGGTCTCTCCTCCCAGTGTAGGCAGGACCACGACTCTGGTGGTCACTCCTCCAGGTGCAAGCAGGGATGAGGCGGAAGCTTCAGTGGTCAGATAGTTTCTGATAGCCACTGCTGTCTCCCAGTGGGCCTAGAGGCACTTCTTAAGATAGTTTCTGGAAGCCACTGCTGTGGCTGCGCCTCTCACTCGACCACTGACACCCCCCATCCCCAAGTTTCTGTCCCTCCTCTCTCCCCCTCCCTCCCCTTATTTGTATTTTTAAATGCCCCTGGAATATTTATATTTAGTGTTCTATCCTGTTTCTAGGAATCCTCAGACTGTATGGGTGATCCTGTTCCTATGAATGCTCAGACTGAATGCCTCGTTGCATATATATCTCAGTATATTCTGGGTTTTTAGTAAATCTGTGTTTAAATATTTGCTGTGTTTAAATGTTAAAAAATTAGTATGATTGAGTTAGCATGATTTTTTTTTTTTTTGGTTATTTGAGACAGGACTTCTGTGTAACAGCTCTGGCTGTCCTGAAACTCACTCTATATGTAGACCTGGCTGTGCTTGAAATCACAGAGATCCACCTGCCTCTGCTTCCTGGGTACTGGGTTTAAAGGTGTGCAACCACTGCCAGCCGTATTAGTGTGAGTTTTAAATCATTTAATTTATTATTTTAGTGTCACTATGTTTGTCTGTGCATATGACTGTAGTGCCCACAGAGATGAGAGGCATAAGAAACCTTTGGTGCTGGAATTACAGGCAGTTGGGGACAGCCCAACATGGGTGCTGTAAGAACAGTACATGCTTTGTGCTTTTAACTGCTGACCTATCTTTTCAAGCCTGATGGAGCTTTATTGCCTCCTCCCCCACAGCACCCTCCAAAACAAGAAAAGTAGAAGAAGAAGCAAACAACAATAACAACAAAAAATTCCCCACTGGATTAGTGATTCTCAGCCTGTGGTTGGCAAACCCCACAGGGGTCACATATCACATATGTGCATATCTGCATATCAGATATTTATGTTACTGTTCATAACAGTAGCAAACTTACAGTTATGAAGTGGCAATGGAATTTATGGTTGGGTATCACCACAACATCGAGGAATGAACAATATTAAATTGTCACAGCATTAGGAAGGTTGAAAACCACTGCACTAGATCAACACCTTCTTTTGGTCTCTGTGGGCACCAGGTCACATGGTATACAAAAATGTAGACAAAATATCCACATTACATTAGAAAAATGCAAAACCCAAATTCTCCTTTAATTGTGATGGAAGAAACTAGGACTCTTAACTAGTAACTTGATTTCTCTGGATTTCAGCTTCTTCATTTGTAAATAAACTTATATCTAAAGAGATAACCTCTATGTTTCTGTGAGCTAATTTATTTTGAACTTGCTACTGGAATGCTTATTTGCTTTCCATATTTTCTCTCTCTCTCTCTCTCTCTCTCTCTCTCTCTCTCTCTCTGAGATAAGGTTAAGGTCTAGGTCTAGCTATGTATCCTTGGCTAGCCTGGAGCTCCCATGTAGGCCAGGCTGGTCTTGAGCTCAGAGAACTGCTTGCCTCTGCCTCCTGATTGTTGGGATTAAAGGTGTGTGATTTCACACCCAATATCATTCATTCATTCATTCATTCATTCATTCATTCATTCATTTGTTGAGAGAGTGTCTTATTCTGCAGCCCTAGGCTGGCCGGGAGCTCAGTATGTATACCAGGCTGGCCTCAAACTCAAGGTAATACACTTGCCTTGGTCTCCTGATTTCTGGGATTACACATGCTCACTCTGAGATTTCAGACTAGATACATGAATTTGAGACTTATTTATGTGAGTAATATAGATTGGGAGTTATTATATATATTATTAGAGAGATCAATTAAATAGACATTGAAAATTTTAACAATAATAGTTAAAATGTTGAGCCAGGAAGATGCCCAAGCCTGACAACTTGAGTTCAATACCCAACACCCATATGGTGGAAGGGGAGAATTGATTGTCACAGGTTGTCTTCTGACTTCCACATATATGCCATGGCATGTGTACAACCTATACCCACTTCCACAATAAGTTAAATAAATATAAAAATTTTTAAATAAGGCATTGGAAAGATGGCTCAATGGTTAAGAGTGCTTGCTGCTCTTTCAGAGGACTGTAGTTGGGTTCCTAGCACTCACATCTATAATTTCAGCTCCAGCAGTTCTAACACTTTGTTAGCTCTGAGGGCATTCACCTGCATGTGTACATACATAAAACAGGGACTCACATATGCATAAAGGAAAAAAGAAGCTTACTAGAAATAATTAAGATGTTGGTGAAAAATTGGCTCATTAAAGGATTAAATTGTCATTGCTATTTGTTTTCATACTTGTTGGTTCTTATTGGTTTAAGTTTATGATGCTGTTCTTATTTGTAGTTAATAGTTAACTCACTATTATTTTAATACCAGGAGTTTGCAGTCCCTGACTATCGCTCTTCTCATATTGAAGTTAGTCAGGCGTCCCAGCTTTTGCAGCAACAGCAGCAGCAGCAGCAGCAGCTTCGAAGACGACCTTCCTTGCTTTCAGAATTTCATCCAGGTTCTGACAGGTAATGGTATTTCTTTTATGTTTGTACTTAGGGTTAATTGAATTACATCATTTACTTATCATTTTTAATTTTTCACTAACAAAGCTGTAACTGGTCTTTTATATAGATTGTGTTTTGAGTCTTGTATTGGTTTTCTTTGAATTCTAGATCTTCCTTTTCAGTCTCCCATGTGCTTGTGGATTACAGGTCTCTGCCATAACACCTGGCTTACATCTCTGATTTTGTTGTTCCATTAAAAAATTATATGATTACATTTTGAATAAAAACTTTCTTGCTTTCCTTATGTATATGACAGCATGCCATGTATAACGGTTCATATGTATACGTTAGAAGACAACTTGGTGGTTGGAATAAGTTTTCTCCTTCTACCTTATGAATCTTAGGGATCAAACTAAGGTTGTCAGGCTTGGTGGCAGTCATCTTTATCTGCTGAGCCATATATCTCCAGCTCCGTTTTTTTGTTTGCTTTGAGATAGGATCTCACTTGTAGTCTTGGCTGTTTTAGAACTTGCTGTGTAGACCAGGCTGGCCTCAATTTCAGAGATCTGCCTTCCTCTACCCCCTGAGTGACACTATGCCTGGCCCATTAGTTTATTCTTTTATGATTTTATCCATATATACTTGTATTAAGGTACTACCTCCTCTTTCCTATTTCTCTCCCATTTCTGCTGGTTCCCTCTCCTTCCTGCAAATCACTTTCCCCTATCTATTAGTTTGGCTTTGTTTTGTGTTTCATAATTTTACTAGTGCCATCTGTGTCTCAACCCCTAGAGCCTATGAGCTCACTAGTGGGTATGCAACTAGATACTTGGAAGATGGTATTTTTGTAGCTTCTTTCCCCATTCTCTGGCTATTGCATTATTTCTATCTTCTCTTCTACAGTATTCTCCAAACTTTAGGGGGGTGATATAAATGTCTTGTCTTTATTCTCACATGTTTTGCAGTCATGGATCTTTGTGTTTGTCTCCATTTGCTATAAGAAGAGGACTCTGTTTAAGCTTTTGTCTGTGGGTATAAACAGATTTTAGGAGATTTTTGATGCGATGTCAGTTCAGCTAAGTGGCTACTTTAGGTTCTCCTGAAGGGTCTAAGACCTTTTCAGTCATGGGTTTGAACCAAACATACAGTATTAGGTATGAAACTCCCTCTGTAGAGCAAGTTCCAAATCTAATTAGGTCCAGGTTCATAGTTCATGGTCTGGGCAATGGAGTGTTGAGGGAAGCTGGGAGATTAAAGAAGATGTACAGAGTGGCTGACAAATAATACATAGTTTATTATAGGCAAGAGCATTCACCCTTGGTCCCAAGGACGTTTTATAGAGAACCACACAAAAGTGGCTTCTTTCCAGAAGTGGTTACAGTTATCTTTTGTATAACAGTTATCTTTATTGTTTATTCATGGTTCTTTGAACATACTGTAGTAGTAGTGGCCATTTGAACTTAATCATTCCTGGTATCCATACCAGTGCCATGTTACCTAAACTTCTATCTGGCTCTTATGGCCTCTATTCACTTAGTTGTTATCCCAGTGATATTCCTGTTACCATCTCACCAATTAACACATCTTGCCTGATAGGTTGATCTGGTTTGTAGATTTAGAAGCTGGATTAAACTATCAATGCCTTTACCCTACAGTTCACCTGCATTGCACCATCTGGCACCATGAGATCCAGCCAGTAGAGACAAATCTTCCAGCCCAGTTTCAACCTGCTTTCTCTACACCTTGTACCCAAGGTTTATTATGTCTACAGCAATAGGATCACACCAGCTAGTTTTGGTGGGTAGCCAAGAGCAAGCAAGAGCTTGTATTGTTTTGGTGACCTCTGGAGCCTCTCCCACAAAGACATCCCACATTTACCACTGGGATTTTTGTTTAGGGACCCATTGCTTCTTTCTTGGACCTGTGTTGTCTAGTCTCAGGGCTCCTGCCTTCATACTTTCCTTTGTGTTTTAATCGATAATAGGTTACCTTGTGTTTTTATCATACCCTCTTTATTTGACTTTTACCCCTCATCCCCATTCCCTTGCCTCCCTCATCCCCATTCCTCTCTTTGTTGATAGTTTCCACTTTTAACATCCTCCCTCCCCATTTAACATATATGATACTCTCTTGATTGCCTCCCAGTGACTTCCATACCATTGTTCCTGTTCTGGTTTCTTAGGTACTCCAGATAAACACAAAACAAAAGACTCAGGGTCCAGATCCATATATAAGAGAAAACATGTGATGTTTGTCTTTCCAAGCCTCGGTTACCTCACTCAGTATAATTTCCAGTTCCATCCATTTTCCTACAAGTTTTATACTTTGATTTTTCTCCATAGTTGCATAAATATTCATTATCCATTTATCAAACAATAGACATTTGGGCTGGCTCTGTTTTCTAACTACTGTGAGTAGAGCTTCAATGAACATGGGTGTGGAAGTGTCTCTATTGTAGGATATAGATTCCCTAAGGCTTATGCCTAGGAGTGGTATGGCTAGGTCATATGGTAGGTCCGTATCTGCTTTGTTGAGGAATCTCTAGACTGATTTCCAAAGTGGCTATCCAAGTTTATACTACCAGAGTGTAGAGTATTCTTTAAAATTTTACACACGCACACACACACACACTTATATATTTTCACTCTTGAAGTTGTTGGTTGAAAAGTAAATTTCATTAGGGGGCTTGGGACATCTCTCAGTGATACAGCACTTGCTAGGTAAGGTTGAGGCCTTCAGTTCTATCTCCAGCACAGGAAAAAAAAATATTGTGTATATTTAAGTATGTAAAGAATGTTTCTGAAGAATATATGTAGATAATACAAAGAACACTGTACTAGAACAACTTAACATACCAATTGTCATCTTTTGTGGTGGTAAGAATCTATTCTTGTAGTTAGCAAGAATCCCAAATGCAGGAGCTGGAGAGGTTAAAAACACTTGTTGCTTTTGTAGAGAACCCTGGTTCATTTTCTAGTACCCACATGGTGACTCACAACAACCCATAACTCCAGTTCTAGGGATGCCAATCTCCTCTTGTAACCTCCATGAGTATTAGACATACAGTGGTGAACATGCAGGCAAAACACTCATATATATGAATAAAATAAATCTTTTTTTCTTGTGGTATTTTTAAGACAGTCTTACTATGAATCTCTGACTGTCTTGGAACTCAATATGTAGACCAGGTTGGCGTTGAACTCAGAGTGCTGCCTGCCTCTGCCTCCCGAGTGCTAGATTTGCCACCACCACCTGGCAATTTTTTTTTTTTTTTTTTTTTTTTGTCTATTGAGACAGGGTTTTTCCTGTCTCGGCTGTCCTGGAACTAGTTCTGTAGACCAGGCTGGCCTCGAACTCACAGAGATCCTTCTGCCTCTGCCTCCTGAGTGCTGGGATTAAAGGTGTGTGTCACTACCACTTGGCAAATAAATCTATATAAAAACCTCTGTATTGAATAAACGAATCCCAAATACAGTATAGTTTATTGCCTTCATTCCTAGTTTTGTGCATTAGATATTTGGACGGAGTTTCTCTTTGTAGCCCCATCTGTCCTGGAACTCAATCTGTAGACCAGGCTCTCCTTGAAGCTCAGAGATCGACCTGCCTCTGCCTCCTGAGGGCTGGGAATAAAGGCGTGTGCCACCACAGCTTGCTACTTGTTTTATGTTTTTTTGTATATGGGTGTTTTGCCTTCATGTGTGTTTGTGCATCATATGTGTGCAGTGCCTACAGAGTCCAGAAGAGGGCACTGAATCTCTTAGGAACATAGTTATAGACAATTGTAAACTACCTGGGTCTGTAGATATCTTCAGCCAGCCCTGGGCCATGAGGACCAAGGTGAGCCTGTGACTGTCTTTCACCTGCATGGGCTTTGAGGACCCAGGTGGGCCTCCAGCAGAAACCTTTGAGTTTGATATAAATTCATTTTATTTATTTTTGTATTCATGGCTTGAGATTTTGTTAGAAAAAAATCATTGCCAAGGCCAATCAATGCCTGCCTTAGAGTCTTCCTTCTGTGTTCTCTGTTTGGGATGTCATCGTTTCCAGCCTCATTTTCAGTTGATTTTTTTCTATATTGTTATGTCTAATTTCATACTTTTTTGTGAGTAGAAATCCAGTTTTTCCAGCATGATATACCAAAGAAACTATTTTTTCTTGCCATGCTTGTAAAAAGTTAGTTTACCATATATTTTTAGAAATATTTTTGGCCTTTCAATTCCTTTCTGGTAGTCTGTAAGTTTTTAGGTTTTTTTTTTTTTTTTGGATAGGTTTTCTGTCCTGGCCTTTAATTCCAGCACTCTGGAGGCAGAGGCAGGTTTCAAGGAGAGCCTGGTCTACAGAGTGAGTTCCTGGACAGCTATGGCTGTTACACAGAGAAACCCTGTCTCAAAAAAACAAAACAAAATATACTATTATTGGCAGAAATTTGAAAAGATTCAGGGAATGATAGAAGAATCTGGAATGACTTGGCCTCTCATTTCCTATCTTTACTCCTTAAAGAGACAGTGTTGAAAAGGAAAGGAAATAATTAAAATCATCAGATTTTAATGGGTGATGGCAAACAGCTTGTTGAGAATTTCCATTATTCCACCTGGTTTCTCAGCAGCTGCATGATGGGTATTTATAATATGTCAATTTGTACAGTAATAGGCTATCTAGGAGTGCTTTACATGTCTGTCACAGTAGATCAGAATTCTCAACAGAGGTTGTTAGAACAAGACTGAGTTTTTCTCTTTTTTTTCCTGCATAGTGTGGAAAGTAAGATAGCCATATCAATTACACGTTCTAGCCCAGAGCAAACAAGCACATGACCTTTAACAAGACAATGACAAGGAAAACTTTCTTGGACAGTTTCACACTGAAGAGAAGGGCTGCCACAGTGCCCATGAGCAAGAGGAAATAGAGGGACACATGTTACTGGTTAAATTATTAAAGTTCAAGGATAAGTGAAAGACTCAGAGGAATTCAGGTAGCAATACAGGTTCTTACTAGGGTGGAATAGTGTTTGGTTCTATAGTGTTTGAATAGAGCTCAGTTAGTGGTGGGAGATAGTGAAGCAATAGCTTAAAATCTTGAGAAAAAGAAATTAAGATCCAAGAATATTATACCAGACAAAATTAAGCCTTAAAGCAGCAGGTAGGTATTTTTAGACATGAAAACATTGAGCGTCCAAAACTTATTATAGAATTTGTAGGTGATGGCATCCAGCTAAACAAAGAATGAAAGCCAAGGTAAAGGACCAATGGTTATAAGCCTATGTAAATTTTAAAAATCCATATTAAGCAATGTTATATTGAATTAAAAATTTAATAATGGATCTCTGTAGCTTTGGAGCCTGTCCTGAAACTTACTCTGTAGATCAGGCTGGCCTCTAACTCAGAGATCTGCCTGCCTCTGCTTCCCAAGTGCTGGGATTAAAGATACGCAACACCACCACCTGGCTAAAATAAGTCTTAAAAAAAATCTGTGTATGTGCATGTGCACACGAGTATGGGCAAGTGGCCAGTGTTACCTAGGTTCTGGTGATGCTGTGCTTTCATTTCTAAATTTGTCTATAGAACTTCCTCATCTTTTCTAAGAGACATGCAGTTACAAGTGTTAATATTTTTCAGGTGAGGCTCAGGTGTGTCTAGGCTTTTGACATTGTGACATGATTTCATTATCTACAAATGTTTTATGCTTCATGCATAGCTATCCTGGGATGCATATGGTGTATGGATAATGAGTTGTGCGTGCCTGGATATTATTCTGGCATAGGTAGAGGGAGCAGCAATTTACCTTGAATGTAAGCATAACCTTTCATTCACTATGAAGTCTCTCTGGGGTATTGGTAAGGCTAAATGTCACTTAACTTATTTTCAGGTGTTTTTTTCTTTTATTTTTGTATTAGGCCTCAAGAAAGAAGAACTGGATATGAACAGTTTCACTCAGGTCCCTCACCAGTGGATCATGATTCCTTGGAGTCCAAGCGGCCACGCCTGGAGCCAGTTTCTGATGCCCATTTCCAGCGTGTTAGTGCTGCGGTTTTACCTTTAGTTCACACGCTGCCAGAAGGGTTGAGGTCATCTGCAGATGCTAAGAAGGTAACTGTTTGTGTTCTTGCTCGTCGAACTTAGGTCTATAATGTTTAACCATATTTCAGACACAGTGCCTAAAAGAAAGCCCACAGCAGCCTCTAAAGGTTAGTGCTATGAGGTTAGTTAGTTAAGCAAAACTATAAACCACAGACTAAGTGCTCTAGATTTTAGTTAGCACCTTTGACTTTTTGGTAAGTGAAAACAGGTTGAGCTGTTCAATAAAGAAGTCTTTTCTGACTGATTCACATGCATTTTGTGTTGGTTTGCTATACCGAAAAATGTGATCAGAGGTGCTGAAGACTGTCAGGTTTGTCAAGTTTATCTTATTTGTGTGGTGGCAGGGAGGGCTTATGCATGTTGATGGAGGTCAGAGGACAAATTTCAGAGTCAGTTCTCTCCTTCCACCTGTGTGTCCCAGGGATTGAACTCAGGTCATGTGGCTTCTCAGCAAGCACCCTTACTGTCTGTGTTTTGTGTGTTAGAAAATTTTTTCTCCTTCTCTTTGAGATAGGGCCTCCACATCCAGCCCAGATGGTCTGGAACTCACTGTGTGGCTCACAGAAATCCTGCCTCTGAATTCTCAGTACTCCACCATGCCTGGCAAGTTTTGTCAATTTTTTTGGGGATGGGGGGAGACAGGGTTACTCTGTGTAGATTTGGAGCCTATCCTGGCACTCGCTCTGGAGACTAGGCTGGCCTCAAACTCACAGAGACCCGCCTGCCTCTGCCTCCCGAGTGCTGGGATTAAAGGTGTCCGCCACCAACGCCCGGCAGTTTTGTCAATTTTTAAACAGTCCTTTTAATTTATTGACATATAATACATAGTTACATGGTTACATAGGATAAAGTTTTATCTAAGGTTTGACTATTTATGATTTTTGTCTAAAGAAAATGGTCCTGGAGTTATATAACTATTGCATACTTAAGTTTTGGGGCTGATTTCCTAGTACTGCAGAAACCAACCCTAGCAGTTGTTGCTGGGCTTATTTATTTTTTTGGTTTTTCAAGACGGTTTCTCTGTGTAACAGTCCTGGCCGTCTCTTTGACCAGGCTGGTCTTGAACTCACTGAGATCTACCTGCCTCTGCCTCCCGGTATTTGTGTGTGTGTGTGTGTGTGTGTGTGTGTGTGTGTGTGTGTGTGTGTGTGTGTGTGTGTGTTTTCTTTTAGTGTTTTCAAGACAGGGTTTCTCTTTGTAGCTCTGTAGACCAGGCTGGTCTCGATCTCACAGAGATCCACCTGCCTTTGCCTTCTGAGAGCTGGGATTAAAGTCATGTGCCACCACCACCTGTCTGCTGCTATTGTTTTTTTAAAGAAAGAAAAGAAAAAACGATTTTGAAAGAAAAAAAATTTTCTGTAATTTATAACTTGTCTATGACAACCTCCTGTTCTCATTAGTTGTTAACAAAAGCTGGTTATAGTTCAGTGTATAGTGTGATATTTTTGATATTTGTACATTGTGGAATGATTACATCAAATAGTTTACATATCTATCACTTTATGTACTTATAATTATTTTGTGTCATTAACAACTAAAATCTTAGCAGCTTTCAAGTATATAATACGTTATTAATTATAACTAAATCACTGTTAGGTAACTGCTTTAAATATTAAATATTTTTATGACATTTTGAATGATATATTAACTTATGACAGTTTTTTTTAGATAATTTCCCCCCCCCAGATTAAATAATTACTTTTCTTCTGTGAATATTTGTTTCTGTTATGTTATTGTTATATTGCTGTGGATATAGTTTTAATTGTTTTTCATCTCATTCAGTATGTACATTAGCAGATGTTTAACATGAGAGGATATTTATTTTAGAGTAAACAATTTAAGAAACTTCAATAGTGAGACATTAACTTTTTCTTTTTTGTGATGTGAGGGCCTTGTATACTACTCTAGCATTGAGCTATGTTTCTATGCTTGTCACCTTTTTACTAATATATATTAATGGTTTCTCAATATCATTTTGTCTTCAACAATTTTAAATAACATTTTAATTTTAAATAACATTGTATGTGTGTGTATGTCTGGATGTGGACATGTGAGTGTAGATAGCTGAGAAAGCCAGAAATGGACATCAGACCTTCTGGAACTGGAGTTAACAGACATGGCATGAGTGAGTTCTAGGAGCCGAACTTGGGTCCTCTGCAAGAGCAGTGTGCATTCTAACCACTGAGGCATCTCTCCCATTTAAGGGTAAATTATTTTTATTGCAGTGCACATGTGTTCGTGGATCCTGTTAAACTCAGGTTGTAAGGCTTGTTAATATATGCCTTTACCTGCTTTGCCAGGTCTTTGGCCTGGCTGGTCTCAGATTTGTAGTAATCCTGCCTCTGCTTCCAAAGTGCTTGGATTACATATGTAAGCCACCACACTCTGCTGCTTGTTTTAGTTTTACACAGAGAAGTAAATCTTTGTTGAGTACTTGATACTCTAGTGTTTCTCAGGGTTTACTGGTATTTTGGTTTTATAATTGTCAATGCTTCAGATGCTTGTTTGTATGAATGGCAGAAATATGGTTAGGACAATATCACATTTTTTTTGGAAATTTTGAATTAATCCCAACTCAAAATTTAATTAGTGACCCCCTCTCCCTAGTGCTTTCTAAGACAAGCTCTCATAGCCCAGGCTGGCCTCAGATTTGCTTTCTGGACAAGACTGGCTTTGAACTCCTAATCCTCCCACTTCTCTCTCCAGTGCTAGGATTAGAGGCCTGAGCCGCCATGCTTGTCCTCAGTTAATTTATTCTGAAACTCAAACCAGCAGCTGGGCCAGTAATGTCTAAAACCAAACATTGTAACACAGTGTAAAGATACATTCATTTGATATCTGTCAAGTAATGAGAGTATGGAAATATTTAGTTTTTATTTCTATAATTAAACCATTTTGTTTCTATCTGGTTAGAAAACTTTGTATAGTGAAAAGATTGCAATTTACACAGTAATCTCTCCTCACACCCCCCCCCCCCTTTTGGTTGTTTGAGACAGGGTTTCTATATGTACTCCTGTCTGTCCTGGAACTCATTCTGTAGACCAGGCTGGCCTCAAATTTAGAGATTCACCTGCCTCTTCATCCTGAGCACTGGAATCAAAGGTGTGCGCCTCCACTGCGCAGCAACTTTTTTTTTTTTTGTTTATGTGTATGGTGTCTGTTTGTGTGTGTGCATATATACATATTTGCATGTGTGAGGGCTTGTGTATGAGTGTGTATGTGATGTGGGGCCAGAGGCTGATGTTGGGTGCCTTTCTTGATAGCGTTCTACTTTATTTACTGAGGTGGGGTCTTTCACTACCCATTCAGATAGTCTACTTAGCCAGTTTCCCCTGGGAAATCCTGTCTCTGCTTTCTGAACTTTGTGGTTATAAGTAGTTTACCACACCTGATTGGCTATTGTGCATGTATGCTGGGTATCTGAATTCCTGTCCTCATTCCCTCCCCACTCCCTAAACAGGGTCTCTCTGTGTAGCCCTGGCTGTCCTGAACTCATTTTATAGATCAGGCTGGCTCTGAACTCAGAGATCTGTCTTCCTGTGCCTCCTAAATGTTGGGATAAAGATACGTGTCACCACCACCCAGTCTGTCCTTACATTTGCATAGCAAGTGCTCTAAATATTGAGCCATCTACCAGCCTCAACATATAGTAGTCCTGAATCTAAGCCCAAGTGTTTCAGGCAATGGTTTTGTAGGGTGGTATCTGCATTGCAAAGTGCACATGTATGTTCAGAACCCAGCTGGAGTAAAACTGTGAGATGCAATATAGCAAACACTGCCAGAAACCTCATTCATTACACATTTTGGATTAATTTTTTATTATTATGCACTCAGATACCTTTTGTTATTAACAAATTTTTCATGATCTTCCATTTAATTATCAATCCCATACATACTTTTTTATACTTTCAAAATTAATTTAAAAGACAGGCTGTGGTGTGTGTGTGTGTGTGTGTGTGTGTGTGTGTGTGTATGTATTTATTTTCAAGTAGTTCAGCCAGAAAGGAAACAAAAACTCTTGTATAATGAGAAAGCAAGTATAGCAAAAAAGTAGTGAACCTACAGAAAGGGTAGATGAATATCATGTGCTTTTGTCTTTCGTTTTAATTGTTGAGCTTATATATTGACTGGGCACAAGCTCTTTGTGATAAGGTAGTAATTAGGTGAGCCTCTGGGAGTTGTGAGATATACCACAGCAGATGGACTATCAGTGTTACAGTGTTTGGGGTTCACAAGAAAGACCTGCTGCACTAAGAGGAACAAAATTTAAATATAGCATCTTCTGACACAGAGTTAATTATCTCGTATATAATTTATAGATGTAGGAAGATCTTAAAACTCATTAAAATGTGGCATGCTCATTGTATATGAGTTATTTTCATTTTATAGTTGAGAAATCATGCTATTAAAGCTTCATTACCTTAGGTTATGGCTCCTGAGTTGGAATGAAAACCCAGGATCCCTCTAATGCCTTCCTGTACTTCATGGTCTATCTACTCTGTTTCCTCCTTGCTTTATATCCTTTCTCTCTTTGTAGTTTTAAAAATAAATCCCAAGCATATGATTAAAAATGTAGACACAAACACATGCTCCCTCTCCCCAAAAAGGAAGTCCAGTTCTCATTCTAAGTAGCTATCAGGCTGTTCCAGTACAAGACTGTAAGCTCAAATGGAGACATTCATGAAATTTGTCTTTCGTTAAATATTTTTTGCTGTTTATCCTGAAAGGGAGTCAGTAGGGAATTAGTGATTTGTAAGTGTTTAGAGTATGTATAAAAGAAGTTTTAGAACAAGCTTTTTTTTTTTAATTATTTATTATGTGTACAGTGTTCTGCCTGCATGTCTGCTTACAGGCCAGAAGAGGGCACCAGATCTCATTGTAGATGGTTGTGAGCCTCCATGTGGGAGGGAATTGCTGGGAATTGAACTCAGGACCTTGGAAGAGCAGTCAGTGCTCTTAACCTCTGAGCCATCTCTCCAGCCCTAGAACAAGTTTTTAAAAACATTTTCATAATATGTTGGTCAGAATACATATCTCTGTGACTCAAACTATCTCATATGCATGTTGTAGGAAAATGAGTTTTTGCATTGGGCAGTGGTGGCTCATGCCTTTAATCCCAGCACATGGGAGGCAGACGAAGGGGGATCTCTGTGAGTTCAAGACCAGCCTGGTCTACAGAGTGAGTTCCAGGACAGCCAGGACTACACAGAGAAACCCTGTCTTGAAAAACAAAAACAGAAAATGTTTTCTCTGAATATTAATATTTCAAAGTTCTTAGAAATAAATTCTCATAGTTACAAAGAAATTTTCAAAAGAAAATTTAAAAATTCTGTATTCTTTTTTGCAAATATTAACTAGCTGATTTGCTATATCTTATTCAATTTTGATAAAGATTTGAATTTTCTGCAGTGATGCCATAAAGACACATTCCTTTGTCCTTTTTACTTTTGAAGGTTGATGGCAGTAGTCACAGCCAAAATTTGATTGATTTTTTTATTGTAAGAAATGTAATCCTTGGGAGCCCATTTCACATAGAGGGATACTCCCTCTGTCTAGACACACAGGGGAGGGCCTAGGCCCTATCCCAAACAATATGAGACTCTGAAGATACCCCCCCCATGGAAGGCCTCACTCTCCCTGGGGAGCAGAAATGGTATGTGATAGATAGGGTGTTAGTGGGGGAAAGGGGAGGAGGGCAGAGAGAGGGAACTGGGATTGACATGTAAAACAATCTTGTTTCTAATTTAAATAAAAAAATGGAGAAAAATTTAAAAAAACACTACAAACTGCTGTAACTAAAAAAAAAAAAATGAAATGTAATTCTCTTTTGAAGCCATCGAACCCAAGAATTTACATTTTAATAGAGGAAGCGTGAAGCAGCTGGAGTTCATGTACAAAATGCAAATGTATTGGAATGAAAAACTGTATTATTGATTATAGTAGAATTATTACTATTTTTGTTAAAGCTTTTTTTTATAGAGTTCTACAGGTTTAGGGTATGGCTATGATTTTATTTTGCCTAGAATACCTTTTACATTATATGCATACTGTTATGAGGATTTTTAGCATTACAGATGTTTTAGCTGAAATTTGTATACCAAAATATTTTGGGACAGTGATTTTTTTTTCCTAGTGCACTCATGGTTCAGAACTATTGATTTTCTTCTTTTTTTAATGGTTAGTCATTGTTTGCTATGTTTTAGGTTCTGTTGCCTTTTTAACTATTCTTGTTCTGACCTTTTTATGGCCTAGGGAAAACTAGTACCCCTTTCCAAAACTTACCTGTTTAATAAACTGCTTGTATGTTTATCTTAGACTGGAAATTGTGTGTGTGTGTGTGTGTGTGTGTGTTGTGATGAGGTAGTAGAGTAGTAGATTTTTGTAGGGGGATTGCCATTCTCTGTTATTGGATCACTGCTAGTTTGTGAGTAGAATGGGATAAAGATTTTTTCTTGATGAATGTGCAGAAAGATGTTTTATGCTAAAGAAATGGCACATGTGTTGTAGTGTGACTTCCATACCTCAATTTTGGTTCTTGGAAATACTGAAAACATTTTGGTGCTAGAGATTGAGCTCAGGGCCTCACCATGCTGAACATGTACCCCATTACCAAGTTATGTCGATATACATAGAACCCCCAAAACTTTTTTGATAGGAACTCTTGGTAAGGTGGATGGACACACACAATCTTAAAAAATAGTAATGAATGACATTTCCAAGCTATAAAAGTAGTATAAATTTTGTGTGTTTTGTTTTATGTGTATTCGAAAGTATGTGTGACTATGAGAATTCATTACCATTAGAGAACTAGCACATGGCTGTTGAAGGGTAGGGATGGTGTCTGTGTATGTCACCCCAAGAGCAGTAGTTGACATATTCACTGTCTTCATTTACCAGACCCTGCTGTGTTTTAAATTTTACATTTTCTGTTAAGACAGTCTTTATGCTAACATTGGCTGTTCGTGAGAAAGAAATTGTTGTTTATGATTTTTCTTCTAAAGGACCCTGCATTTGGAGGCAAACATGAAGCTCCATCTTCTCCACTGGCTGGGCAAACATGTGGAGATGATCAAAATGCTTCACCTTCAAAGCTTTCAAAGGAAGAGTTAATACAGAGTATGGACCGGGTAGATCGAGAGATTGCAAAAGTAGAGCAGCAGATCCTTAAACTGAAAAAGAAGCAAGTAAGTACTGCACTCCTTGCTTAACACAGTCTGTGTCCTAGAAGTTGGTATGGAAAGCAGCTATGCTTTTTTATCTGCCTTGTATTCTGCTTACTCTTCATTGCTGTTTGTTTCTTTAGTTTCAACCCTCTATTTCTCCTGCTATACTATACTGTATGGTGTCTGTTTGTATTAGATAGTAAGGTTACTAAAACGCTAATTTATTTTATATCCTCAGTGGCAGCACAATTTGCCTACCAGTTTGTGCTTATTCTTGTCTTTACAAGATAGCTGTCCTCCCTCCCCCAATTTGCATGTGAAATAGTTTTAACTAATTTGCATTATTTTGGTTAGGAATGAGGCTGAGCTAATTTTCATGTTATGCCTTCTGTATTTATTATGTGCAGATATTCTATTTTTTTTTACTGTTAAAATTCCCTAGCATATCATTTCATTTTTGCCAGTAGTTTTATTTGAGGAGGTAGTTGGATGTTTTTTGTTTCTGAGATAAATTCTTATTGATTATGTTGCCGAGGTTGACAACACTAAATAGGTTCAAATGATCCCCCTTCTTCATTTTCTGACTAGCTTGCACTGTAGATTCATTCTATCAAAACTGGATCAGTGAAGCACCTTCTAAAACTGAGATGTAAAATACTTTCAAGGTGCGCAATTAAGTACTTGTAATATATTTATAAATTTTGTAGGTTACTATTAATCTAGAACATTTTTGTGATTTCTATCAGAAACCTGTTGTTCATTAGTACTGTTTGTTTCTAACTCTTCCTATCTCCTGGAATCGACTTGTCTATTTTTGTTTGTATCAATTACCTGTTAAGCTAAAATGAAGCCTATGATGTATTTTCAAGAATTGCCTGTGATGTATTTGCATCAACATTTTAAAATTGTTACTAAATTGATTCTATTGTAGAACCATACCATATTATATTCATCTATTTATTAGTTGATAGGCATTTGGGTTGTCTCTATCTTTTTTAAAGTTTTATTTCTTATTTACATATATGTGTATGGGTGCCTTTTTGGCCCAGAAAGTGTCCGATTCCTAGTGGGCAGGAGTTACAGGTAGTTATGGGCTTCCTCATGTGGGTGATGGGAGCTAAATTCTCCAGCCTCAGATCTACTTAAATTTCTCTTTTAACTTTTAAGCTTTATTATAAAAACAATGTAAGTAAAAAACACAAACTGAAATTAGCCAGTTTTCTTCCATGGCTACTTTTTTTTTTTTTTTAAATTATGCTGTCACATTCTTCATGTACCTGTTTTTATGTGAATTTGTTTTTTCAGTCTTCTTGGATATATATATATATATATATGTGTGTGTGTGTGTGTGTGTGTGTGTGTATGTGTATATGTATATATGTATATGTATATATGTGTATATATATATATGTATATATATGCACACACACACACACACACACACACACACACACACACCCACCCACCCCTAGGAGTAGAATTGTTGGGTCATATGGTAAAAGCAAGTTTAGACATTTTAGGAACTGTGAAACTGCTTGTAATTTATGATGGTTTTCCTTGTTCTTTTTTTTTTTTTTAAGCATTAGTTTTCTCCCCTCTTCCTACCCTAGTTTTGTTGTCTTAGCTAAGAACCTACGCCAAATCAAAAGTCATGAAATTTAGTGCCTTTTGTTGTATAAATGTTACTGTATTTTTGTTTGTTTGTTTTGTTTTGTTTTGTTTGTTTGTTTTTCGAGACAAGGTTTCTCTGTGGCTTTGGAGGCTGTCCTTGAACTAGCTCTTATAGCCCATGCTGGCCCCAACCCCAAAGGGCCCCGCCTGCCTCTGCCTCCCGAGTGCTGGGATTAAAGGAGTGTGCCATCACTGCCTGCTTTGTCTGCAAATATTTTAATAATAAAAGAATGTTAAGTTTTATTCACAAAGAAGTGCTTGTTTTACATTTGTTTGCTAGTTGTGTAGTTTTTCTCCTTTTAATCTCTTAGTTAATCTCTCAGTGAGCCTCAGTTTTAGTCTTCCTTTTGAATTACCTGTGCATCTCTAGGTTTAGCTTTATTTGTGCTGCATTGTCATTGGGTGGGGGGGGTGGTTCAAGACAGGATCTCACTGTGTAGTCTGGGAACTCACTCTGTAGACCAGGCTGGCCTGGAACTCACAGAGATCCACCTGCCTCTACCTCCCGAGTGCT